TACCCCTTATACGGAACAAGATCCAAAAGTCAGTTGATGACCTAGGAGCTTGGTTCAAAAAAATGGCGCATTGATGTGAACCCGGAGAAGAGCTCCGCCGTCCACTTCGATTATAAACGACGCCGTCTCAAAAACACTCCACCAATACGTATGCTAGGGACCCCTGTCCCCTGGCATACGTCCGCCAAATATTTAGGTGTCACTCTAGACACAGGGCTCACTTTCAAGCCCCACGTCAAAAGAGTAACCCGTCACGCACGGTTTTATCTGAGTAGGCTCAACAGTATGTTGGGCCGACACAGTAAAATGTCCCTCCGAAACAAGCGTACCCTCTACAAGGTATGTATACGACCAGTCATGTCCTACGCGGGCCCCGTCTTTGCCCACGCAAACCCTAACATTTTAAATGAACTCCAAATAGTTCAGAACCTCTTCTGTCGTCGAGCTGCGAACGCACCGTGGTACGTCCGTAATGCCGACCTTCATCGGGACTTAGAGCTCCCAACAATTCAACAATTTTTTAAAAAACTCTCTGAGAACTTCTTCAAAGCCTCAGAGTCGCACACAAACCATTTAATTCGTGAGGCAGCTTCTTATGCAGCCCCACCCCCCTCTCGCTATCGTGTCCGCAGGCCGAGAAACTCTCTCTCGGACCCGCCTAATAAACTTTCAAACGACCTGAACTGTCTCCTGGCGGCTCAGGCCAACTCTAATTAAATAAAATTATTGTAACATCTAACATTAAATTGCCTTCGTAGGCACTCCCTCAGCGGCACTTAGCCGCCTGCGCCCTCTTTTCCCAAAAGAGGGTCGCTCATGATAAGGCACAATAGAGCTTAATCAGCCGGTTGCCTGTCCCCAAAGGCGGTTTTTAGAGGGTATCACTTAGGGTCCCCGGTAGGACAGTGAGCCCCTCATAACCACGATAGACCGGCTATCGTGGTATGCGTAATGCATTTTCCGCCTCCCTACGTATAGGGTAGCCCTTTAATTGCTTCGGGCGCAAAAAAAAAAAAACTGTACTAGTTCCTACGCGGGCCCCGTCTTTGCCCACGCAAACGCTAATATTTTAAATGAACTCCAAATAGTTCAGAACCTCTTCTGTCGTCGAGCTGCGAACGCACCTTGGTACGTCCATAATGCCGACCTTCATCGGGACTTAGAGCTCCCAACAATTCAACAATTTTTAAAAAAACTCTCTGAGAACTTCTTCAAAGCCTCAGAGTCGCACCCAAACCATTTAATTCGTGAGGCAGCTTCTTATGCAGCCCCACCCCCCCTCTCGCTACCGTGTCCGCAGGCCGAGAAACTCTCTCTCGGACCCGCCTAATAAACTGTCAAACGACCTGAACTGTCTCCTGGCGGCTCAGGCCAACTCTAATTAAATTAAATTATTGTAATAACTAACATTAATTTGCCTTCGTAGGCACTCCCTCAGCGGCACTTAGCTGCCTGCGCCCTCTTTTCCCAAAAGAGGGTCGCTCATGATAAGGCACAATACAGCTTGATCAGCCGGCTGCCTGTCCCCAAAGGCGGTTTTTAGAGGGTATCACTTAGGGTCCCCGGTAGGACAGGGAGCCCCTCATAACCACGACAGACCGGCTATCGTGGTATGCGTAATGCATTAGGGTAGCCCTTTAATTGCTTCGGGCGCAAAAAAAAAAACTGTACTACTAAGAAATTCAGGACTTCATAGGCGTGATTTTTACTGACAGCTGTCGCAGAGATCAAGCTATCTTTTATGAACTATAGATACTGTATAACAAGGGGCTCAAGACTGATTCATTCGGTATTCCAGATAAATCTAGCTGGTAGAAATCTTCCTTCAGTGCGAACTAATATGCGTCTGTGTGAAAGTAGATTTGATAGGAAATTCGTTATTCTCTCAGGAATGTGTATATGAATCGCTATATATATATATATATATATAGCTATCCAGGGTGCTAATACCCCTATTACACTAACCTGAATCAGGCTCCCTATGCCCTGATTCAGGGTGGTGTAATAAGAGAAAGGGAGTAAGGGTCCCTAATTAGGGCGACAAAGTGCATCCTGTCTGCAGTACCCTTGCCACCGTGTAGTGTAATAACACTTAGGGTAGTTAGGCATGAAAACGATACATCAATTCTCTCAAATATCGATATGTCGTTCATAAATATGGTTATTATGAACGATTATGAACTTTGGCTTGCCGTCAAAGGTTTCGAAATAACCAATTTGAAGATATAAAATTTCGTATGTTAAAAGTTGCAAACGATGATTATCACGAATCTTATATTGCCGAAAAATAAATATACCAAAAAAATATATCTCAAAGTTAGATAATGTCTAAATTTTTAAAGTTAGAAAGTTTATTTAGCGAAACCCCGAAAATTTTAATTACGAATCAACAAACAGGCGAATGGTCTTTCAGTCGAAAATAAATTGTACTCTCGACTCAAATATACTTGAACTTCAGAAGTGCAATTATCTTCAATCGGTTATTTTATTTTTGATGTAAAATTGTGGTTAATTTTTATTGTGGTAATGAATTAACATAAGTTTACAATTGAAAATGGATTGGAATGGTTTTATTCATTTTTTTATTATTAATTATATTGTTTGAGGTTTAACTTAATCAATAGCTTAAGTGTAGTTTTTTAGAGTAATAGTTATTTTGTATTGGAAATTATTTTATCGGCTTACTGTACTTCGTATTTCGTTACAATCACTTTTCTGAAATATTGATTTTGATGGATGAACGGTTATTCAACTGCTTGTATTTCGGTATAGTTTAGTTGATGTATTCAGAAAATGCGATGATACTGAAGGTGATATATGGAACTACCATAAAGAAGTAATGCAATAAAACATAAGAAATAAAACTAAAGCAGAAGAAGAGTTTCATAAATTACACGAAAGGGTTATTTCCCGGGCTTCATATCCTAGCTAAGATCTATTTGCCTATCGTGGCAACTTCGGTATCCAGTCAGCGGTTATTTTCAGAGGCTGGATCTACAATCACCCAGGAGAAACCGCTCACTAGGCGCCAGATTCTTAAAATTGTTATTTTAAATTTCAATTCGAAAGAAATAAACATAGAAGTATAAAAATAATTCTTGTTTTCTGATAATAATTCGATAAAAATAAATGTGTAAAAATAAATAGTGTAAAACTTCCTAAAATAACATAAATATAATATTTGAAATGTATATTGATATATATTGAAATGAAAAAAGAAGTATAATAATTATATATATATAAATAAAGTTACATATATACGTCCCACTGATGGGCTCAGGCCTCCCCTCATTTCTGAGAGGGTTTAGGGCAAGGAAGTGTCCGCCGCGCTGCCCAAATGCGTGTTGACGAACTTCACATGTCTTCGAAATATTTTTTTTTCTTATTCCTCAGACATGCAGGTTTCCTCTCGATGTTTTCGTTCACCGCCAATCACGTGGTAAATCAGCACTTAAAATTGCAATTAATAATTTCATTGTGCCGGCGGGGATCGAACCCAGCTTACTCGCGTTCTGTTATATTTACAGCGAGCGTTAACCACTGAGCTACCACGCCTTGCATGAAAAAAAAAAAATACATGAATCTTCGAGATGCATGAATTTCAACTCAAGTGACCTCCAGTCGTAATTTTTTCGAGTATGCACATCTATAGGATGCAACTCGAACTAAACTCGAGCTAGCAGGACGAAACAGAGTAAATGATTTGTTACAAATTACTTTTATAAATTTGTTTTTCTATCTGACTCTTGGTTGGTTGGGTCAACTATCACTACTAAACTTAGTAGGTAGTAAAAAGGTATATTTAGTATGTATTATATACTTGTGTATTTTTGGTTTTTAATCAATATTAGTAAGTACCTATGTTTAAAAACAAAATTAGCTTTATATCAGTCTTCACAAAACAACATCAGTCTAGATTTTAGATGTAGGTAAATAAGCTATTTAATGGTTCAAATATTCTTAAATAGCTTAGCTGTCATAAAATTCTAAATAACAAATTACTATGGTAGTAGTTAATTCTCTTTGTAACATAAAGCGCGCAAACAAATACACGCACTTAAATCACTAGAACTCTTAAAGTCTCAAATAATCTTTGCCTACACTTACACTCTTTCTTTAAACCGTTTTTTTGTTTTTCGATATATGGAGCTAAACTTAATAGCTCCTCGAACTCCTCTTCCCCTATTCTCAGGTATTCGAAATTTATTGGGCTCCAGAACTCCGATAATTCGCATACTTGAGTGATTTTACCTAAGTTTTAAATAGTCCTTCACCCTTAGCTTTTTTCTAAACACGACAATAGTAAAGAAAAGAGTTCTTTACTATTAATAGTCATGTTTTTTCGTCTTAAATTGTCCAGTAATAAAATTTTGGCCCTTATCCCACTACATCATGCAAAACATGACGATATATCGATATTAATCACGCAATAATATTTATAGTGTTTAAAAACATCGATCCAATAAATATACATACTTTTTTCACATTCCTATAACCGAGAAAGGGCGTAAAATCAGGGTAGTTTAATAACTCAGGTCCCTAATTAGGGGACACTCCCATCCTTCATTCAGGGTCCTGATTCAGGGTAGTGTAATAGGGGCATAAAACCTTTTCTTAAACCGAATTGGTTCTTTGATATAATGGCTCTATTTTCAAGACTCCACTCATTGCGATTTTTTACGAAATGTTCCATGATTTTAGACAGCGTTGATGAAATAGCAATAAGGCAATAACTTAATGCTGAAGAGGCGTCTTTATCAGACTTTAGAATAGGTATAATAATAAGTGTTTTTCGGTCATCTCGAATAGACGATGTAAAATATTATATAAAAATAATATTTGTACGATACGAATATCCGAAAATCACTTCTATTAATAGCATATGGCAACTATTGCTATCAGCTATCCTTTTCTTTCTAGTAGTCTTTGTTTTGGATTATTCTGTTCATTTCATTCTTCTTCATTCTCGTTTCGTTCATTTTCGTTTCATTCATTTGTGTATGTGGCAGCCGGAGGTGCATTATTCGTCATTTCTTGTAACAAATAGAAAAAATAATAACCACTTAGTTTGTCTTCATGTAGAGTTAAATTTATTTAGTGAGTACGTTTTAGCTTTTAGAGTTTGTATTTCAAATGGAAATATTTTTCAAGTTCCGGTCATCGTCAATATCTTTCAAACATGAATGAACGCCATGTTGATTGTCAAAGGTGTTTTCTGAACGGATGAGACATCAGTGAATTGAAATTGTGTTAATTTTTCAGGCACCGCGATATCCATAGATCGCTGTAAAGCCGGTTTGATTACACTAAAGTAAAACGATACCCAGCCATGGCACAGGTTTTGCCTATACGTTTCCAAGAGCATTTACAGGTGAGTACGCCCATCGGCTTTTATTGGTTTTGTCGATAGTAGTTATAATATTATCATGAATACGATATCAGCTGTAATCTATCGTACTTCTAAAGTGCTTTATTTAATACATGATCTTATTATGAGATTGTGATGCTATAAATGACATTGCGCAATTATCGGAGTGACAGTTTCCACCCCCTACTCTACCCACGGAAGCACCAGTATTGATCTTTACGTTTTCCCTTAAATCATATGATTTGCGGGCTACTAGGCAAATAATAGGGAAATTTAGGTCACATAAATTATTTCATGTAATATTTTTTTACATTTAATCTAAAAATTTTATTTAATTTAATTTATGATACTCTTCATTCTCTTATTATTCTTTATTGTTTATGTATTATATGAATTTTTATTTTTAATATCTATATTATATAAACATTTTTATATTCTATGCTAGTAAGAATCTAATGAGGAAACTTGGTTTTTTATTAGGAAAAAAATACTTTTATAAAATTGTTCCAATGTATGAAAAATAGAAATAATTAGTAAATAAATAAAAATTAAGCAAGGAATTGTAGACATTCTTTATTTGCGAAACAATTTACTTACTGTTGGGAACTTAAAATACATTTTCATTATTTTATATAAATTATTGGTAAATTTAGGCTTACTGCTTTTTTCCTAATTGTATGCTTTTTTAACAAATTGGTTATTTAAAGTACCCTACAATATATAAAATTTTAATACCTAAGCTGTTCAAAAAGTAATGTTTCATTTTTAATAGATGTAAACCCTCACTTCACAAAGGATTTATATGACAATTATATTTGTGTAAGCATACATAATGTTTCATACTCTCTTATAGGATTAGAAAGTAATACTCTGATAACATAATAACTGAAGTTATATCACAACTTCTTTTTGCTCCCCAAGGCATTAATATCATCACCATGATTGTAAAACATCATCATGAACATAGTCACATAATCACCTCTCCTAAATAAAGATTATATAACATCATGGATAAAAATTCTAATATTCATATTTTTTTTAAAATAGAGTGGAAGGGCCAATCTTCTATTTTAGTATAACATTAATATAATAATTACATATCTTATGGACTAATTTATATGCCCTGCTACATGAAAAAAATCACACTGTAAAGTGTATGCATAAATAATTTAATTTTGTAATCAAAAGCATTAAAATTTTGTTATTCTTGCAGCTCACAAATGTTGGAATCAATCCAGCTTCAATATCATTCAATACGCTCACTATGGAATCGGACAAGTTCATCTGCGTTAGAGAGAAGGTTGGGGAGACTTCTGAAGTTGTCATCATTGATATGGCTGATCCTACTAATCCAATTCGGAGACCCATAAGTGCAGATTCTGCCATTATGAATCCAGCAAGCAAAGTTATAGCTCTGAAAGGCAAAGCTGGAGCTGAAGGTCAGTGAATTTTGTTGATATTACATAATTAGATCAATACCCTGTTTTAATTTTATAAGTGGGTGTGTTTAGTGCATCTTTTTTTAAATTAATTAAGACTGTTACCTAATAAAAGTGTAGGTGTACCAATTGAGTATTAACTTAAATAACATTGAAAATCAATTTCATTTTCTACTTTTCAAATTTTGTACTTTTTATAATCTACTTCCGATTCTCAAACAATATATATCATAATCACAGCTCATGACACTGCTGAACATAGACCGTCCCCAAGGAATGCCACTAAGCATGGTACCCAGCCACCTGCATATCCATTAACTTTGTAAATGTCTTATTGGGTCAACCTTCAAGTAGGGAGCTGTTGGGTTATCGGCTTAAGGCTGCCGATTTATCAGCTATTAATTTAAAAAGTGGAAAATGTTAATACATTACTATCTTTCATGAAATAAAGTTTGTGTTACTTAACAATAATAATTTATCATATAATTTTCTATATGATTGCATAATGGTACATTAAAAGGTAAGGAAAGTATTTTTTTGAATTGACATGGGGGTTTTGTTGTTTAATTTTCAGTCTATATTTTGTTAGTAGTGCAAATTTAATTAATCAGATTGTATTAGTTAAAAGAATAAAACTCAATCTGCAAATTGTTTAAAATGAATGTATTCAATATAAAATATATGAAATGAGAGTAATAAACCTGATGTGAGCAATTGACATTATATGATGACCATTAAATCATCATAAAAAATGAAATATATTATTACAAATGATGAATCATGATTATAAATGTTACAATGAAGAAACTATCAGGTGTATATAATATTTAATTCTCAGGTATATGCTTCGTATCACCAGCCTTTAAAATCCACTGTCAGATATAGATATTTTCAAGAATGCATCCTTAGACATGTATTTCTTGAAAGAGTTGTCCATACCTACTATGATGGGCAAACAGGTTATTGAAGTCAGAACTGATACATTCATATTGGGAATGTTGCTTCCCACCACTTGGCTATCGGAGCTGTTTTTGGCATTTTTGGATGATTTTTTTCCATCAGTTGCTTTTAGCCCCGTTTGTGCAGGGTGCAACATTTGCAGGAAGGGTTGAAATTTAAAAAAAAGTAAGTTTAATTTCTCTTACAATCTTTTTTAAACATTCTATGCCAACTTAATTAAAATCTTAATATGTTTTATTACAAGATGTGATATAATTGTTAGATAATAATAAATTTAAAGGTGCTCTTTGTATACTGCATGTTTATTCAGTTGTGGTTCCATTCTTATAATGCTAGAGTGCACTCTCTTATGTTTTGTTATCTATGGTCCTTGATTATATATATGTAGTTGTCAGTTCATGAGTTTGTGCTGTCAGCTCATGTAAAAATTAAGTTAAAATAAATGTTACATAATATTAGAAATATTACTCAGTTTTATTAAATCAAAGCCCAAATAATTATAGTGTTCTTCTGATCACATCTCAATCTTGGTGGCTTTTCAACAAAGTCACCCTTAGAACCACTAGACCTATGAGGCAGTCAAAAAGTTTATATTACATCATCATCATCATTACAGCCCTTCACAAGTCCACTGCTGAACATAGGCCTTTATATTACAGCATTATTAAAAACTTAAAAAACTATTTAATCTAAGCTCTGTTTGTAGATGTTCTTGCCTAGATTAACCACGGTAATTTTAATTAGTTTTTTAAGATGGCTAAAAATAATGGATTAAATATAAGCTGTCTATGTACTATACTGGTTAGTTTTAGGATTAGGATAATACCTTTGCTGGAATTTCTTGTTTATTATTAGCCCATAAAAGTCCACTGCTGCACAAACATTTTGGGGAGGGATTTGTCTTTTTTGTCAAATCTTTTGAGCTAGATTGTGGTCTCGCATCTTTGACGGTGCTGCTGGTCCAGGTAATTCATGTGGAAACTAGATGGTTATACCACTATCCATTAGAAGCCATAATTTATTATACTAATTATATACTTTATTTAATTCTTCTTATTCTAACTAAACATTAAAATACTATTACATTATTGAATACTTTTATTAACAGTAGATAATCGGTAATAATCCAATCGAATTACAAAAAATGCTTTTTGCCATTAGATTGAAGGCTATTTCAGATACTTGGCTAATAATAACCCCACACTATCCGATAACCAACAGTTTGTTAATGTTCCCAAATATTGGAGCTGACTGAAATTCAAACCAAGGGCTTATTGTGTGGTTCTGTGTCTATTAGGTGGTCTTTATAAACATCAATATAGCCGAAACATTGATGATCTATTGGACTAAGTCTCTACCTATAATCTCACTCCAGCTCATTGCTACTGATTTTATCATGCATAAAAATTAACACAATATTTTTAGGGGTACAATATAGCATTTTTGGCGTCAGTCAAACGGAACTTCCCCGATAGATTGTCGACACCCATTAGTAGGTCTACGTTTAGTTGTGGACTTTTGATAGGCTGGAATGGTAATGATACATGGTGAGAGCTACTTCAACAACTATGCACAAAGTAGTGCAATACCGCATCCATGTTATGTTAGTACAATATTTATTCTGTGGCCAAGTGTGTACATCCTTAAAACCATTTACAAAAGCTGTACTTCTCCAAAAATATTCAAATAACAATGAAAAACACAATTATTTGTATTTAAAATACATTTATTTACTGATCAAACATATATTTTATTATTGAGAATAATGTCATGTCATTATAAAATTGTAATAATACAATTTAGAAGAAAATGAAATGTAGAAGTCACTGTCCTATATTATAATGCTTATTTAAATTCTGCGCCATAATTTTTGTTTATTGATTATATGACCCATAAAGCCGTCTCGGAAACCCGAATAAAGATGCGGCGGTGAGTCATCGCCGTATACATCTTTATTCTTGACCTAAAACAAAGGCCAAATGCGGAAGCTGTGATATGGAAAACGGCAGTCAGTGAATACGCACTTTCTAATTGTTGTTGATTTATTGTTAGCAGAAAATCCATATTTTATTATTTTAGAATTCCAAATTAAATCTTGTTAGTTTTCAATGTTTTAATGGATAACTGTGTCTATTAGTCATGGAATAGATGAAAGCTAAATGATCATGCATTGTGAAAATTTTTATGCGTTTTTAAACAGTTTTCGGGAATTATTCAAAAATGGTTTTCACCATTAGCATTAAAAGGACCACAACTTTTTTAACTAAACGCAGTAGTATCCGCAAAATTAGTTTTATTCAAACAAGGATATTTTAGAAAATTAAAAAAATTAAATCCGGCCGTGCGTGAAAAAAAAAGTGCGTGTCGGGTCACGCACATTGTAGGGTTCTGTAGTTGCCCGTTACAATACGTGAACAGATAAATATGTCGGGATCGGCCTCTTCGGCGATCGATCCTTTCAGACTTCCCCGCAAAGGAAAACTATGTTTAGCGAACCGTTTAGCAAGACTTGTATCTAGTATCTAGCTTGTATCTGCACATAATTATCTGCGCATAATTCGTTTTATTTAAAAAATATTTATTTTTACAAATTTAATTAGTTAAATAACATTATAAAGTAATGCAGCTAGTTAAAGGTAATTTTCTATGGAATTAGTTCGTCGACTCATTAACTTGTTAAGCCTACTTAGCTGTGATAGTTTTCCTTTTAACGTCATTATATATATACTAATATCGTGTATACTTCACGTTTCCAAAAACAGCGGTTTAGTCGAGAGGATGGGAGGACACTTGACTAATAAAAGTACCACTTTAATGTAAAATATTTTGCAAATGAACCCTTGAATCGAAAAAGTGTTCCACATCCCTAATATTTTTGACGATTAATTTAGACATTCCATCATACTCTTTTTTTTTAAAATTAGGAATCAACTCAATTGTGCCTTTTAATTGTACCTGTGTCAAGAACTCGCAGAACAATATACGTGTTTTAGCGTAGGGGTAAATAAAGAAGAATATATAGGGTACCAACAGATTCCAATTTTTGAGGTTGAGTTGCTTGCTTTTCATCATCAAAAACCGATATCTTGCTTTGTTATTTAGTTGATATGACGTAATAGTATATCAAAGTTTCGACAGCACTCACAATCGAACCTTGCACAATTAAACGCGACGTACAAATTTCTTACATTTGGTCGGTTATAATCTGGTACAACTTACGTATAGAAATGTGCAAAAGCTACTCTAATTGCCGGAAGGTACTACGGCTACCTTCTCAGATTTATTCCACACTAGCTAAATTTTCAGGCACAGTCATTCCTACGAGCTTATTCGGCCGAGTATCAGCAAATACTTGCGTTTTATAGTTCTCAAAGACGTTACTTCTGGACAAAACTCAAAAAACATCCCGTCCAGGCATTTTTGTTTATTTGAACCAAGCTTAAAATTGGAGTATGTAGTATATCACGATATAACACGATAGTCACGTTTCATAAAAGTCGCCATTTAAAAATACTGGAGTTTACCGACGTAAAACAATAACTCAAAGGTACAAAAAAGACAATGAAAAACTTTTGTTTTTATTTTAATTATTTAAACAAGTAATGATAACTTGCATTATCGAGCACCAATCACAAGGATATGTGGTCGACTATAACATAGGGGGGCTTAATGATGTTTTATAACTGTATATTCTATTTCTTTATAGATTAGAAGATAGCTTTTCCCACCTTATGGTTTGTGCTGATGTTGTCGAAGATGGTGAAGCGCACTAAAATAAAATCCTATTCACTTTTACCTTGAAGATGGGAAGACATGTAGGCAAATTATTCCACATCCTCCATAAATTACTCCACTTCTTTGTTAAACACGTTACGAAAGTTTAATCCGAATGCGTCTAGCTGCTCCTCCGATCCGTGTTTTTTTTATCTGAGCGTCTAAGTCAAATTGAATATCCTATAGTCCTTTTAAATTCTTCTGCCATATCTAAACCGTAGCACAATAAATGTTAAAAGTGATACTATTTAAAAAGCAAATGACCA